AGTCTAGACCCCTCTTAATACAAGAAAGTATTTTGCTTGCTTTAGAAACTGTGGCTTGACATTGCATGCTATTATTGAGTCTATGATCTACCAGAGCACCCAGATCTTTCTCCATCATTGACTCCCCCAAACATACTCCCCCTAGAGTGTATGACACATGCATGTTTTTAGTCCCCGAGTGCAGAACTTTACATTTATCAGCACTAAACCTCATTTGCCAAATAGATGCCCAATCACACAGTACATTCAGATCTGCTTGTAAGTTGGAGACTTCCTGTAAGGACTGTATTCCACTACATAACTTGGTGTCATCTGCAAACACAGAAATAGTACTTTTAATCCCCAACTCTATATAATTTATAAAAAGATTAAACAGTAAGGGGCCCAACACTAAACCTTGGAGACACCACTAACAACCTCAGACCATTCAGAGTATGAATCATTCATCACCACTCTCTGAATATGGTATTTAAGCCAGCTTTCTATCCAATTACAGATTGATTACTCTATACCTACTGACCTTAACTTATACATTAGCTGCATGTGGGGATTTATTACATAAATAGATAAAAATATAGCAATACATGGGTGATTTTATGTGCATACCTATCCTGAGCAGACATCTGAATGTATCTTACGCTCTTTACAGAAGTTTATATGATTTACACTATAAAGCTGTCATGGCTTATTTTGTTAGTAGCCAGTAACAGGGATGAACAATGCTGCAATTGCTGCTGATCCTTGCTAACAAATGAATGTCATTTGTCGACATGACATATTTGAATTTTTTAGCTAAAACACTAAAGCATGGAAACGTTTTAGCACTCTTTAAAGTCCTTACACCCAACATTTTTTTAAAAACAACTACAAACAGCTGCATACAAAGTGTTATAACCCAGCGTAGCCAATCAGAAATATTTTTTTTCTTCTTCTGACTGGTATCTAGATACAAGATTAAATCTTATAGCTTGCCATGGGTTAAAGAAGCAGAAGAAGTATATATGGATAATTTACCAATCAATGTGGACAGCACATTGCATACTGATGAAATAATTCTACTTCACATGTTATATTTAAGCAGTTGATTGCAGAAGTATAATTTGCCATACACATTTGATGTAACAGTCTGACAGGATAGGACAACGTATAACAGGATACAGTATTTTTCATATGGTTTTAGGACTCACCATTAAACATGTGACGATAATGATAAATGTGCTGAGGAAGATAACAATAGTGTAAAAACCTTCTTTGGTCCATATCTTGTCAGCTTCATGCTGTTGTCCTTGCAGCACATTTTTCTTAAAGGTAAAGAAAAAAGAAATATTTAAGGACAATGAAGAAGTAACAGCTCCCAGCACTCGCTTAAATATACAGCACAGTGTACAGCCAACAGAGGCTCCAATGATTTCTGTTACACAGACGCATGTTTAAAAGTCTCTTTAATGCTAAAATAATCTTCCCACACATGTATTATGGTCAGATCTAGCTAAAGCAAACACAGTTAATGTTTTTCTTGGAAATTACCTTGCCCATTCAGTAGGTGGGGGCTGATCACCTGTCTGTAGAGGAAATAGTTAAAAATAATCTTTCATTTTATTTCTCAGCCCCTCCTCTATACACCCACACACTGGCCATGTAACCCTGCCCATCTTCCTACAGGTAGAAACGCTCTCTCAATGAAGTAATAAGCACAAAGGTTCCTGGAACTTGAACTATTTGGATTGCAGTCATTTGTGGTTATTATGTTCTTTACACATTCTGTCCACATGTTATGCCTTTGGTTTTGATACAAATTAGACCGCACAGCATCTACAAATAAAGAGCAAGGAGACGTAGATCACTGGAAGCAAACTGTCAAATATTAGGATGTGTGTGTGCGACCGTATGTGATTTTATTTTAAAGGAACACTGCAGTTGAATATGCTGAAGATTACTAAAAAGATAATTTAACGTCCGGATTCATTTTATTTTGCATTTAATTGTATGATTTACTAAAGGAGTCAAGAATGCTAACTTTTAGCAAAATTAATTTTCACTTTGTAAAGTGAATGTTCTCATGAGTTAGTAAACAGGGAGAAGCTGTGTTTACTTTACTTTACCCAATCAATAAAACAATAGATTTTTGCTTGAGCATGATTGCATACTTTAAAGTAACACTCAGGAGTTACATTTTAAAAATGCATTCAAGTACCTTAACTATCAGCAATATTATATCGTATTTGTGTATCACTAGGCTGTAGATCCTGAAATCATCTCTGAATTGGTGCTGACACTGTCCTTGCTTCTGGAGGGTGACTACTTTTGGTCCCCCTGACCGTGTGTTGTAAAGTAGCCACTGCTCCAAGCTCACTCCTGTGATGGACTGCAATCTCAATACAAATTAGTAAACCATTTTGGTCCATCATGGGAGTGAGCTTGGAGCGGTGGCTACTTTACAACACACAAGGTCAGGGGGACCAAAAGTAGCCACCCTCCAGAAGGAAGGACAGTGTCAGCATCAATTCAGAGATGATTTCAGGATCTGCAGCTGAGTGATGCACAAATAAGATACATTTTAATTAATGGTTAAGGTACTTAAATGCATTTATAAGGTTTAACTCCAGAGTTTAGTGTCACTTTAAGTGTGCACAGTTTCACTATATTCATTAAAGCCCAACTGTGGGCACACGCCAAAAAAAAACAAAAAAAAACAGCTTGCCAAGTCTAGGGGTGCAAGGATAAGGAGTAAGGCCCCGTTCACACCAGGGAGGTTTGGTCCACTCTTTGTCCACTCTGAACCGCCGACATGAACGATCCCATATATTCCTATGGGGACCGTTCATGTGATCACGCGGCTCCGCACGACCCGAACCGCCTGCCGCACTGTTCTGAGCGGATTCCATACAGATTTGAATTTCCGAAATGTGATTAAAAACGCCCAAAACCGCCTTTTTAAAATTCACAGGGAAACCGCGCTGAAACGCATCCGCCCTGGTGTGAATGGGGCCTTATGTTTACCTTACTCCTCACTCTGGCACAAAGCCATTTGTGCAACCAGTCTGCTATAGCCTCCTCTCTAAGGTCCTCACACTCGCCTTATCCATGAACACTGCAGGGCTAATAGCCTTGCACTGTACGTGATTACACCAAGGGAGTGCCCACGTCCTGGAGCGCCAGGGAGAAGAGGACAGTACCAGAGCCTGCCATAAGGTAAGTAATATCTCCTCTTCTTGCACGTCCTAAACGTAATAAGCATTTAACCTAGGAGTGCAGAGAGACCCCACTACAGAGGGTTTTTTGACGTTGAAGCCCAGAATTGGGCTTTAAGAACTCTAGTAAATATAAAAATGCGGTGGGACTACCCTTGCACTGCAAGGGTTAACTGCTCATTTTGTCTAGGGGCTAAAAGAAAGAAAATATGTTAACCTGATCCTTGGTTCTGCGGCAGTGACTGCTCATCTCTCTCCCCCTCTGCTCTGGCATCCTCACATCTAATACAGCTGCATGTGTCCTTAGACCACTGGTGCCCAGGTAAGAATAGGCTGCGGGGACTGGTCTAGCAGTCAAGCGGGACCAAGGATCAGGTCTTTATTTTTGCCCCTAAACCAAACAAACACTTATCACTTGCATTGCAGGGAGTAGTCCCACTGCAAGAGTTAATTTTTAACTTTCCTGGAGTTCTGCTTTAAAGAAAAACTCTAGGATTTTTTTAAAAATTAACCCTTGCAGTAAAGGCATTCATAAGTAAGCTTTCACAGTTAACACTATTTAATAGTAAAGAAGATTAGGATTCTTGCAGTCCAATGGTGTCTGGTGCCAATCAACATTTTACATTGGCAACATTCATTTGCAAGATTCTGCAGTGAAAAATGCTTACCTTTTTAAATAGCTGAATATAAATGCAGATTTTACTAACTGGAGATAGTAAGTTAAAGTGGAACTTCAGGAAAAACTTTTTTTTACTTTTGGATAGAGTAGTAAGGGGTTGGAACCACTGCCAGGTTTTAATTGCTGTCTGTGTACCCATTAAAAGTCCCCTGGTTTCCTGTCATGTTGACGCAGCATTCTACTAATAAACATGCTTATATTGCTATCTGTGTCCTCATTGAAGGAATGAGCCTCACTTTTTGTCTCAACACAACTGGAAGAGAAAATCTCCCCAAAGAAGAGAATAATAAAAACCTAATAGGTTTAAAACGTTTTGCCTAGAGCTACTTTAAACAGGTAGGTTATTCCTCAAAAAAGGATAAGTACACATATGAAAATATAGGTAATTTCCAACCCAGAGTACCTCAGTGGAATATTTGCCAGTGCTTCCAGAGTGGTGGTGCAGAGCTCTGTTCCAGGGTCTAAAGCAATATTGACAATAAATGTAATCCAAGTTTATGAAACAGTGACGTTGTTAAGTATAACTTACTTACATGGACTTACTTCCTCCAGTGCAATTGGGAGTATTGTAACAGTTCAATAAAAAGTCACTCCCAGGATAATATACTATCTTATGAGGTAAGAAAACATAATCATGCTATTACATGATCAACTTGGACTTTATGAAGAATTCTATTACGAAAGAAAACTGATTCACTTATAATTATGTAATATAAACTTTCTGTTTCTCAGTTAAAACCAACTGTTTACTAATTTCCTATTGCATAATATACTTTCATACTCATTACATATGATTATGCTGAAAAATGCCTTTGTATATATCATACATTCCTTGCAGATATTTAATCACAACGGCCTTTATGTCTACATACTGGAATGTATAGGTGATGCCCAGTGGCGGAGCTAAGGAACAAAGGGCCCTGGTGCAAGATTTTTTTTGTGCCCCCCCC